GCCTTCAAGTTGGACGATGGGAGAGTATGGCACGCCGACAGGCTCGCCCCGTGCGGCGACTCGTCCACCGTCGGAGAACACTCCCAGGGAGAGGGAGGGAAGACAAGCACGCCGAAATCATCAAAAGCGGGAACAAACGTCCAATCGCCTCTCTCGCCGAGTCCACCCATGTCGCTCAGGAGAGCGGATCTCGGGTCCGACACTTCGGAGGAATGGATGGACGTGAATGACGAGGACGGCGGCTTCTCGCCCAGGGGACTGAAAAGGTCTAGAGTGAGCGACAACAGTCTGGGGAGCGGAACCGAATGTAAACGACTCCTTGTAGATAGTGACTTCGATTCGAGTTCCGATGGAGGGGAGAATGTAGAATCCGTAGATGGAGATCGAGATAGCGCCGCCTAGCGGGAACCGATAGCATTCGGAGGAAAACAATAAAGACGTCTATCACTCGCGCGCGGACCGAGCTCGGCGTACGTTTCGTGTCTGTTTGATTCGGCCGGTAACTCTAAACATACCCACCGCTTGTCCGTCGGACCCCGCTTCCGCTCATGAGCTCCTTCTCCGCGTCTTTCTGCACAAATCACGGATTGCGGGAATTCGCGCTACCCTTATATCTCTCCTCGTTCGCGAAAAGTGAAACCTGAGGATTCGCATCAGTCAGGCGCCTGCTCCCCGCCGGGTCCCCACGAGGATCCGGCTTACGAGGCTTCCCGAGCTCCTGATTCTGCTGAATTATTCAGATCTCACGTTTCCCCCTGTCACGTCTCGACCTCATGTGCTGTTATCGATTGAAACACTCAAGTTCCGCTCAATTTCTCGTGATTTTCGGAATATTGGGTGCAGCAATCGACTTACGCGACGAGACAGTCTTGAGCATCAGGGACATGTCCGTCCGTTCGTTCGTTCGAGGGCTACAGGAATCGTCTCTCTCTTCAGCTTCGTCAGTGCGCCTACAGGGCAGATAATAATCCGTAATGGCACTCGAACTTGCTCCAGGTTTCTGCCCATCTGAAGGAAGCGAAGCATGAAACGTAAACGAATTCTGCACTCGAACAGCAGATGGTAAATCCTGAGCGGCACTCAGCAGCCGCACAACGGTCGGGGTGGGATTGAGCTAATGGTATGCACAACGATTGGCGAGAGATTCGCTATCGGGAAATCGAAGCGCTCGGAGCGAGGGAGAATGAGAATTCGGATTCCGGAGGACCAACTCCAAAGCGCCTATTCATAGGATTGTAATGGTGAATATTTTCCGAGGGAATAGCCGCGGAAGCCGTGCGAGAGGGCGCCTCCTGAGTGAGGACGCGACGTAAGCTGCGTGTGAATACGGCTTCCACCCCTGACTTGGTCTTTCTGAGCGCACGATGAACTCAAAGTCGTTTTCTGCTGGAGTCCCTGCTAGCCCATTCCATAAAGCTGGAGAGATCCCGGATGTCGGGACATTCTTAGAAAGGAACTTGATCATTGTGCCGCAGTGACGCGAGAACTTCCGTTGTTTCCACAGATCTGCTGCTTCGTTCTAACGCCTGTCTTTCCGTGGACCATAGCGGACAGGAAAAGAAGTCTGGATCGGACCATTGAGATGTCAACAACGTTGACGGTTCAATGGAGCGCACAGCGATGTACCAACGTCGATTGAATGACTTCCCGAACTCTCGGCATTTCCGAAGAGCTCTCACGCTTGGAAATGGCGTCCGAGAGAAATGTCAAAGGATGTGAGTCTCCTGATTTTCTCGAAGTTCTAACCGGCGTTGATGGCGAATAATGATGCACGGAATCGTGAGTCTAGCTCCTAAGAAATTCTATAATTCCCTCTCTTCAGATATCCTGGTACTCGCCGTGACTGTTTGCTCGGTATCAGCTTTCCGGCTTGACCAAGAATTGGACCTACTCAACAGAACGAATCTGGTGAGGGATTAATTCTATACTGCATCGTGCTCTACGTCGCATCTATGCAGGAGAAACTCTGATAACGAGATCCACCCAGAAGGGTTATGCTGCTCTACACGGAATGACTTTGGAATCTGTGGATGCCGTGACAGCCGATGGCTGGGTCCTCCAGCTTCATCGAGTCCGGAACATGAAGACTTTCAAGAAGTCCCTCTCAGCGCCTGTGCTCCTCTCGCACGGTTGCGCCTGTTCTTCCGTTGACTTCATGGTCAATCCGCGGAATGAGAGCTTGGCTTTCATGCTGGCCGATCGCGGTTACGACGTCTGGGCGATCAATTACAGAGCGAATAAATTCAGTGACAAGATGATCAAGGGCGGAAGGGCCACAAAACCCAATGCAACCGACTTCTATCGCGCAACGTGAGTCCGTGTAGCAATCCGATTTTTCAATGACTGACCGCGTATTTCTCTGAATCGTTCGAGCCTTCCTCCGACCGGTATCCTGGCTACTCTCAGGTGGCAATATATGGCCGAGTACGATTTTCCCGCTGCTCTGGATAAAGTACTCCAGGTCACCGGGCAGAAGAAAGTATATCTCATCGGGCAGTCGATGGGAGCTACCACCTTGTTCGCCGCCTTGTCTGAGAACAAGAAATACGACGATAAGGCAAGGGCAACCCTCATTTTCAGTTTGAGTTCGAATTCTGGATTTCGTTGCTGAAAGAGAAGTTTCGGAGCTCCCCCCCCCGGAATATTCCTTCTTTCTCTACCACTCCCCTCGAAATCGATGTGACATGACATTTCCAAGCGTGAGAGCTCTTCGGAAATGCCGAGAGTTCGGGAAGTCATTCATTGAGTCTGAATTTCTCCTCATCAGATTCTCCTCTACGCGGCGCTCGTTCCGGTGATCAGATTCGGAAATGATACCGCGGAATCCTTGAAAGCGTCTTTTTCACTCGCACCTACTATACCTTCGTTGGCGGGTCCGGTGAGTCTGTGACTGGGAATACTCGGCCGACTCTGTATAGGCCACCCGGATACGTAAGGGCCATGTCCGGTACGGGGCCTTGTCGAAAAAAGCCGCTGGATTTATTTGCAGGAAACGTTCGAATCTTTGTTCGGTCGTCAACTCTTCGATTTGAGTATTCCTGGCGTCGAAGCTCTCAAGGAGTTCATACAGAGCACAGTCTGCAGCAAAGTACCGGAATTCTGCGAATTGATGTCTAGCCTAATGGAAGCCCTGATGGGCGGAAATGCTAACCCCCACATCAATCAGGTGAGGAAGTTTTTCAATTTTCTGGAGGGGTACACCCTGGCAGGGAAATGAATGGGATCAACAGATCGGACGAGCGGTACTCGAGAGCCTCGAAAGAGCTGCTCGCAATTTCAGACACGCGAGGCTCTGTACAACATTCATAATCCTGCGGGTGTGACGGCGATGAATCTGTATCAGTTCGCGCGTCAATTCGGCAAATCGGTCTGGGAGAAGATGGACTACGATGAAGTCGCACAGACTGGAAAAACCAACATGCAGGAATACGGAAAGGTATAATTCAGAAAGCTGGGGATTTCAATGGGAAACTGTATGTATGCTCCCCTTCTCCGCGACGCATGTCGCTCGATCCATTTCTCTCACGAATTTAGCCACGACGCCGACCGGAGGACGAGTTTCAAGCAAACTAAGGAATCGAATCTTGATCGCTGAGCTCCACAATAATTGGTTATTATCAAGAGGTGAATATTGCAGACGAAACCGCCGCGATACAACTTCTCCGACGTGACTGTCCCTGTCCAGTACTACTTCACGAAAAACGACAAGTACTTTGGGGTGGCTACGGCACAGTCCCTGATCAAGGATTTAGGAATCAAAGATTCTGATTACAAAATGATAGACGGAAACGGGTTGGAGCACCATGACACCGTGTGGGGCTGGGATGCCCGTTGCTACGTCTACGACCACTTGCTCGATCGTCTCGACGCCTTAGAATCATCGAGGAGTCTGATCAGGAAGGTATTCCGACAGAGAATGTCAAGGTCTGCGAAAAGCCTGCCTTTCGAAGACGGTTGTCCAACCAAGCCCAAAAGTCGAGCATGATTTAAGCGGGGCACCCAAGAGGATCCCGTGACTAGCTAGCGTCAAGTTCAAGTTTTGCTGCTTCTCCGAATGCTGAGTAAATCGCTCGAATGCTCGAATATTGTTCTTCCTCTCTGTTTGGGGCCGAGCGCGATCCCTTTGACGCGATCCAAAACCAGTGTACGCTGGTGCCTTCTCCCGAGGGTGTTAGGACGGTCATAGCCGAAGTGTGAGGAGATACGAATCCCAATTGTGAGCAGATTTCAGGGTTTCCATTCAATGACAAAAGTATCCATGCAGAACAGAGCTCCTCCATAAAGGCATACCCAGCGAGCCATGCATTCTCGGCTTAGAAAGGGCGATTCGAGTAGTCCAGACACGCCGTGTATCGGAAAGTCGAGGCGAAAGCTACAAGCTAAAGGCATCGATGAACGGATCGTGTCGCGTTTCCAAGCCACGTTGCTCCCGACAAATGTTTCAAACCGTGGAGGATGTTCTCGCCGAACAGCTCGATAAGTTTTTCGGAGCTGTCCTTCAAGAGCTGGAGGAACTCCCCTGGATCACACGACCCTTCGAATATCTCACGAAAAACTCCGCCCTGGAAATTGAAGGGCCGAAGGGCCCCGCGGAGGGACTGGTGAAAAAGCTGGACGTGGAGTCGACGCTAGAACGTCGCCCTAGAGAGGAACGAGGACACCGTCGACAACGCCGATTCGGATTTCCTCGGTCGTACTGCGAACGATTCCCGGCCAGATATGACGTCGTTCCTAATACTGACCGCTCCGAGACTCTCGGCATACGTCCCTCTCATTGGGTCCCCTGTTTCTTGTCGGAGCCGATTGTGGCTCCAATTGTGAGATTCGCAAATAATATCTCCGCCGACCTTGGGAAGTTTCCGGCCAAGGACCCAGAAATGGTGTACGGGTAAGATCGGTTGTGAAGAACATCATGGCGCTGCTGACGAAATCGGTTTTCAGATTCAAATTGCATGCTATAAGTCTGGAATTGTTGCCAAAGAATGGGATCGGGCGTGGAGACTTGAGCGTAGCGATCCGTTGAGTTGAGCGCATCCCACGGCTAGACAATGAAATTGACGATTCTCGGGAGGGGGAGGGGGGGTTAGAGACGATCTTTCGATGAGGGACCTCTCCCTCACCTATACCGATGCGACAGTGTGCTCGAGACTATTCGGCAAGACGAGGTTCATATTGCCAACACTTGACGGTGGAATATCTGGCGAGGCTTCGATGACGGAATCGCAAGACGCTGCGATCTTCTCAGCGAAACCCTCCGGAAGTGGTTGATACGGTTAATCTACGTGCTATCTTGTTTTTTCGCGTTTGTCGCGCCCCTAGACCGCTCTCTTCTACGTTTTTCGTTCGAGAATCCATTGTTTGATCTCAGGTTCCGGAGTCGGGAATCCAGCTTTGCTTCTCCTGAGAGCGTGCTCTGCGATATATTGAACTTGAGCTACCCTTATCGTCCATATCGTCGTTGCTCGAGGCTTCCAGTTTCCGTACAGCTGTGCAGGACATCCTCGATCTCTTGACGATCCGAGATTGACCCCTGACGTCCCTTGATCGGGGACAAGAATCAGCTAGGACTGCGAGTGGAACACTTATCCTCCAGCTAGGTACTACAATCGAAATAATCGACGGAATCGATAGCGGCTATGAGAGAGACGGCCACTCGCAAGAGGAGAAGCAGCCGATCGGGTCGCCGCCGATGCACGAATATCTAACGGAGGTGGGGCTGATGGGCAGGCAGTGACGCCGACCGGTAGCCGCGGCGCTGCGCCGATAGAAGTACCTATGGGCAAGAATAGACGGTCATATTTCGGGCGATTCGAGGAAAATACAGGAAGATATTTCGGGACCGGGCGACTGGATCTTCGCGCGAAAGTCACCATATCCAGAGAGTCCCATGCTGGCGCTTCAAAAAAACGCAAGGTGCTCCTCTCTATTTAGCAGCCGTGTGCGAGTGAGATATCTAATATGAAAGCGACCTTGAGCGGAATGTCTCGTATACGCATAGCTCCTCCACCGAAGAGTTCCGACCGCGGAGAGTTCCTCATTCAGAAAGTCCTCGCTATGGGGAGATCCCCACACCACCAGCAGGTATCATTTACAAAAGTCCCCCTTACAGAATGTTCCCTACACTCGAAATCCCTTGCTGAAATATCTCAACACTATTACGAGGCGTCCATCTCGGCGGGACTCCAGTGAACGAGATATATCCGGAAATGCGCTTGATGACGGTTCCGTAGGCTGAACTCCGGATGATCCGACGGCTCCAGAATGGCGGTCCCTCGATGAGCGCACGGCCGGGAGCTCAGGTCATGATTCTGGAAGCGGAACTCAGATTTCCCTTTCCTCAATATGGATGATGCCCTCGGCTCTCCAAGAGACTTCACGGATGGTCCCTGTTGGGCGGAATCTCACTGCGAGGCGCCCAGAGAATTCATATATCTCATGATCTTGTAGTCGAACTGCAGGACGACAGCAACAATGGTCACACAGAACAACAGGTACTTGAGGAAGCTCTGAATATCTATGGTGAACGTGGCGACTTTCAGAATATCGCAATCATCTCGCACACGGAGAAGTTCAACTAAAGCCGCGTCGATTTTGTAGGGGCCGCTTCCCTTTGAGCTCATCCTCATCGCTCGAGCTTCTGTTTTCACATACTTCTCCCTGATGCTCGCACATTTCCGGACCAAGGAGAAAATCAGGATGAAGTTACATAGGAGACATATGACGACGAAAACGCGTATATACGGCTTAGGCTTCTGAGCGAGGCATTGGTTGAAGGAGAATATCACGAGCATGAGCATATGCAAATGAAACAGGATCAGAGGAATAGCGAATAATTGATTCGTTTCTCTCACAAGATCCCTTATCCGCCTCCTTTGGCTCAGTACAGCGTCCCTGAAACCTGAGATATTTGGGTTTGTGAGCGCGAATTCGAGGTTCTCCTGCAGACTCAGGATGTTCGTGACAGCATCGTGGTACAGAATTATGGAGCTTATCCTCCAGATTGCGTGGGACAGGAAAGCGACAGAGGAGACCCGTAAGAGGCGATCTTCATTCCCGATGATGCTCCAGAGGGTGAAAACCAAATGGGATGAGTTGCACAGAACGGTTAGGCTCACGTCCCTCAAGCATCGACCGCTTCCCCCCAGGACGAACTCGAAGCGGTCGTTCTTCCTGATGAAACTCATGTTCCAATACAGGGCGGAAAACAGAGTGATGCCTATGAGCACGAAGTCCGCGGATGAAGTCAGGCTCAACCTCTCTCTTTTTGAGGGAAGCCTCGCAGTCACGTAAGTTATGAAGCCTCCACAGTAGATGGCCGTCTTAAGGAAGAAGACAACATAGCAAAGGTGTCTCAAACGAGAGTTGCGCGCTACTCCCAGAAAGAGGCCATCAATGGCGCAGAAAGCCCAGAAGAAATTGTCCACTGTCATTAGACGCATCAAGCGTTGAATCATGGATCGCACAGCTCCGCGCGATCGACTCATCCGATCAGGGACCGACAGCGAGATCCGGCATGAGATCGCCGGTTGGATGCCAATGTTCTGGCGAGGGCCCGAGTCATCGGCAGAGGTACCGGGGTTGTGTGTCATCCAAAGAACTCAGAAGACGGAACTCCCGGATCGATTCCGAGCTCCTATTCACGATATTATTCGAACGATTGAGATCGGGGGTGAGACACAATCCACCGTGATCCATCTCGGATCGCCGTGGATTCGGTTACGGAGGGTCTGACAAGTAGATCGCATTGTGGGAGGAATTCTTCTTTCAGGCTCTGTCGAGAGTCTCAAGCGGGGGAAGGGGGTGTACATGACACAGCGAGCTCCAGCGAATATTGAACAGAATTCATCTGGCCGGAGCCTACAGATAGAATGGAAAGAGCGTCCAAGTCCCTCTGAAAGGTGCGACTTCCTGGACGGGAATGCGGTGAATGAATTTATTCATGAATGTTCTTCTTTTCGAAGGCTCCCAAACGGAGCATAGCTCTACTTCCGATTCAGGGTCCGGCTGCGGGAGAACGATTGCTCCGAGATCAGAGCAACCCCGATTCTGGCCTCATGTGGATGTTTTCACTCAGATGACTCTGTTTCATGCATTAGCAGCGAAAATCGGAAGACGTAGAGCTCAGCTCTCCGCTTAGCATTTTCGCCAGGGGCCAGGAAGCCCGATGGGCGCCACAAATATGATTCTTCGATCGAAAACGAATGACACATTTTTTATTTAAAGTCGGTACCGGCTCTCTATTTGTCTCTGGGCTATCCGATTCAGGTTTGATCGCCCAAAGAATTTATGTATCCTATAATTCTGTGGTCGAACTGAAAGACAACGCCGACGAGGGTAATGCAGAATGACACATACTTGATAAAACTATGCATATCAATTGTGAATGTAGCGACCTTCAGTGCATCGCATTCATCTCGCAGACGGAATACCGCGAGAAGACTTCTGTCGATCCGAGAGAGGTTACCTTCAAGCAGGCTCATCTTGATCAACTCACCTTCGATTTCGAGATTCTGTTCCCTGACTCTCGCACATTTCCGGACTATGAAGATAATCAATATGGAGTCACCAAGCAGACATGCGGAGAGGAAGCCGATCCTGCCTGGGTCAGATTCTAAGGCGAGAAGATGATCGAAGCAATATATGACCAACATGAGCGTGTGTGAATAGAACACCGTCAGCGGGATCCCGAAAAATTGATTGCATTGGCTCACACGGTCTCGTATCTGCCATCTCTGACGCAGCCAGTCCTCCCTTGCCGCTGAGGTATTGGGACATTTGATCGAGAGACGGAGGTCCTCTTGAAGCTTCAGAATATTCACTATTGCGCCATTGCAAAGAATCGAAAAGTTCGTCCTCCGAATATTGTGGAAGAGGAAAGCGATCGAGGAGAGCCGCGAAGGCCAGTCCTCTCGTCTGAAGACGATCCAGAGGGTGAAGACGAAATGGGAGAAATTGCAAAAAACGAATAAAAGTACATCTTTGGAGCATCGATCGAGTTTCTGCCGGACGAAGTCGAAATGGTCGTCTCTGAGGATGAGCGATACTCTCCAATACAGAGAGCCGGAAAGCGTTATGCTCATGACAAAGAGGTTCGCGGCTAGGCCTAAGCTGAGTCTCTCGGCCTGGTTCGTCAATTTCGAATGAACGTACGCCGTCAGACCTCCGTAATAGAGAGAGGCTTCGGCGAATGAGAGCACGAAACAGATGAGTCTCCAACGGGAGCAATGAGTCGATCCGAGACAGAGGCCGTCGGTTGCGGAAAGTCGCCGTGAATGCTTGTTCCGTGTTGTCGAGCGCATCGGTCCGATGACCCTGGGGGTTGAGGGACCCAGGAGTCACTCCAATGAATTCATGAATCTCGACCGAATGCGGAGCTTAGGAGCGAGAGTCGCTCGCCGAGAACTATAATCCGAACATCCAGCCTCTCCAGGGTCGGTGTCTTGGTAGTCAACGAAGGAGACCGCTGGGCGGAACTTTCGAATCGATGCCTTGCCCTTCTTCTCGGAAAGCGATTCCCTAGGTTGGGGCTGGAACACACGACGCCGCAATCGATTTCGAGTCAAGCTACCGCGACGCGAAAAGTCTGACAATCGGAGCCTATTGTGGATCTGACATTAGGGTTTGTCAGGAATGTTCTGAGGATGTATTGTGCCCGAAGCCGCGCAAAGCAGTCATTATATGTACAATCGAACTCAAGCGAATAGCACTCAGAGTTCAAGAACAGCGCTGGACAGGCAATGGAATATCAGCTCGAGCGCTGAACGAGGCAACGAATACGTCATTGAAAGTCGCATGCAGTACCTAGTTAGATATTTCTTGGAAACTTCAGGGTGAGTGGAACCAGGATGCATGGACCCGCTGGCGCTGACTAAGGAACTATTCCGGGACTAGGCCACTCCTGTCCCCTCCCATGCCATGCCTGGACCCGGAATCGATACGATTCTCCATGACTGCGGCGAAATATACTAACCGCAAACAGTCTCATATTGGGCGGTTCTTCACTGTGACTGTTTGAATTCCGGATTGGAATTCCATCAGGTCGAATGTGGCGCCATTCGATGCGAGGGAGGAACATTGTGGTCCAGGCCCTGCGGAACTGTGCAGGCCACGGTCATCGAACGCCCAATTGCTAGCGCGACTTTCCCGTCGCAAATATCTGCCGCAGATAGGGCAGTATCCAAGCGATTCGCGGGCGATACGTCTTTCCTTCCCCGCCCCCGCTCCGGAGACACTGCGGCTCCGCGCTCTGATGAGCAGGGGATGCTGCGTGCGAAAACGACGGGATTCGTGGAACTCCAGGTCTACCTCACTTACGGCTGTGCCCGGCTTGCGGGTTATTTACCGTGCGAGACAGTCGAGAAGAGAGAGCCGATGATGAGAGAGAGAGAGAGAGAGTCTTGATGATGAACATAGCCTACTGACTAGCCTTGGAACCTCCCTGGAGTCAGACAGGGGATCAAATAATGATTTTAGAGCGGTCATCATCGACGTCATGTTATCTGACATAGGCGCATTCTACACGCACGTCCTCACGACGGATTTTTCTTAGAATTTTTCAGTGGGGCTGTCAGTCCCCATGCCGCAGTATCCAATAACTGCCCGAAGGAGGAGTTTTCGGCCTGCGCTCATGCCACTTCAGGCTTCTGAGGGGGGCGAGGGTTCATTTCGACCAAGGAGGGTCTTCGAAGATCCGTAAGGAAATCCCATCGATGCATTGAGCCTCTTCCCGCAGACGAATCACTTTGCTGTGACCGTGTCTGCTTGTGGGAACGGCCGCGCAGATCACCTGCGGAAGGTTCGATTATTTATTATTCAGGCGGACTGCGCTACTGGGAGCCTGAATCACGCAGGCATGGGACGCATAGAGCCTACTCTCCATCGGGTGAGACATGGCGGCTGGCCCGACATGCTGGGGAGAAGAACTCACTCTGTCGCTCCCGCTCATACTCCAGCCAAGCTTGTTTTCGTTCCGCGTCGGTCAGCTCGACCTCGACGTCTTTGCGCAGGAAAGAATCGTGCTCGTGATAAGCCTGAATGGCTCCTCTGCAATTCATCAGAGTTTCCGCCAATACGCGATCTTTCGGGAGGGCCAGCGTTCTCTTGTCTTTTTTCTCTGGTTTGAACTCGTACATGGCTTTGAGATCCGATTTTTTGAAATGACGCTCGAGGTGCTTCTTGTCGACGACACTCGAGGCTAGCGCTAATTTATCCACTTGACGGTGGTAGATCTTCTCTTCCATGGTGGCATGAGCTATCAGACGGTAGACGTAGACAGGTTTCTTCTGGCCGAAACGGTACGTCCGGAAAATCGCTTGGATATCGTCAGATGGATTCCATGAGACGTCGACTACGATAATTCGATTGGCGCCCGTCATGTTCGTTCCGATACCGCCGGCTTTCGTGCTCACCAGAAGCAAGCGAGCCCTCTCGTTGTCCGAGTCGTTAAGTTGATCGATGTATCTCTCACGGGCTGCTACGGAAGTGTTCCCGTCTATTCGAAAATAATCCACATCGCGCTCCCAACGTCGAGAAACGGCATGCTTGGGAGCTCCTCCCATGCGCGAATACCGCTCGAGCTCCAAATACCGCTCGAAGACGTCCAACGAGAGAAGACTCGTGCTGAACAGGATCACTTTATCCCTGACGAGCTGGCATCCTCTGAGAATATTCATTGCGACTTGGAATTTCGACGAGAGATCCAGTTTCAATAGATTCTCGACTTTCCCGACCACGTGAGGACGCCACCACGATGAATCGTCCTGTAAGAGTCTTTCATTATCGGTCTTTTCCACAGCGAAGGACTGTGCCGAGCTCAGAAAAATAAAGTGTTTCATGGTGAGAGGGATGCATCATTGTCCTCCGTTGCCCACATTTGTGGCCATCGATTCTTGCTCCGATCGTCACCTCTGAACGATACTCCGAACTCTCAGCTATCCGATTCCTTTTTCGTTTACTCCGTCTTTCGTAAGCCCGAACGACTCGTCTATAGTCTTCGCTGCGGGAATCTTCAGTAGCGTCGATCTCGGACTCGGAGTCCGTTCCGGAAGCATCGTCCGGGCCTCTGTCCGCCTCGATCGCCTTCTTTCGTCTTTTCTCACTTTCCAACAGTAGGTAGGGGTGTGACCACACCATTTTCAGGACATGGTAGTCCTGGAGGAAGCTTCCTTGCGAGTCTCCTCGGATCGTGACCCTCCTCGAGCCAATACCTTGTAAATACCGCCGGTACAGTTTCGTTTGCAATTTTGAGAGATGGATTGAAATCACGTATTCGATCTTGTTCGGTAGATGTGGGGCCAAATGACTGTAGTCACAACGATGCACGGTCTCGCTGAGCGCTTTGTTCAGTACATGAACTCGCGCTTTCATCTTCCTCACCACACTCTTGTCGGCGTCCGCCTCCTGGCCGAGCGTGATCGGTTTCACGAAGCGCTCGTTGAACTCCGCTCGGGTACCGAGCGAGTCGGGTCGTACGAAATTCATCATGCAATAATACTCGATCATGTTGTTTTGGAGAGGGGTCCCCGTCAAGATGAGTCGCCGTCGCGTTTTTATTGAATTCAGAAGCTTCGAAAGCTGAGTTCTGGAATTTTTGATGATATGGCCTTCGTCGCAAATCACGAGGTCAGCTCCGGGATTGAGAAGTATTCGCTGCCTCAGTACTTTCAGCTTCGATTGCATTTGGGTCATTATCCTGAACATTGAGTAACTCATGATGAGGACTCCTCCCTTTTCGTGCCACGATCTGAGCATTTCCATGCGGTCGCCAGTGGTCTTCGCGTGACGGAACTCGTGGGTCTCGATCTCTCCCTCAACTCGGTCGTTCCCGTCGATCCATTCCCTGATTTCTTTCGCCCAGTTGAGTTCGACATTGCATGGACAGAGAACAATGACTTTACGAATGTGCGAACTGAGAATTTCGTTGGTCAGAATTGTGTGTAGGAAACAGATGCTTGTGAAGGTCTTGCCCAATCCCATACAGTGAGCCAAAATGGCTCCGGAACCGATACCGCCTCTACGGACATGAGCGACGGATCCGATGATCGTATTGTAAGCGAACTTTACGCCTTCGATCTGATGGGGTTTCATCGATTGAACGAGCGCTCTGTCGACCTCCACGGGAGCCTTGTCGTCCCCAGCACCGTGCTCGAGAACGCACGAAAATTTTTGAACGGTAGTATCGGTATGATCTTCGTTTGACGCTGACTCCTCAGTATTGACATCGAGTTTGATCATCGGTAGTTTCGATTGGGCTCGGGGTTCTGACCGCCTCTATCATTATCTTGTGCACTTCGTTGTGCTCGCATGTCAAATCTCCTATCATTCCCCACGAACCGAATACCGTCTCTTCCATGGAAAGAACGAATGTACGAGACAGAGAGCTCGAATCCTGTTGTCGAATTGGAGAGCTATAGCGACGCAACTTGTGCAGAATGCTATAAATCTCAGAGAATTCACGGTATTCAACGGGGAAGAGGCTACTCGCGGAGCGTCTCATTCTCCCCGAAGCGTTTTACCCACAGGGAATCCGCGTACCATGATGGATGACCGTGAACCGTTGGAATCATGGGCGCATGTTCGAGCTCGAGGCTCTGTCCCATGAGCGTGTTTTCGGACAATGGAAGGTGTAGGAGACGCTTGACAAAACGCGAAACAAGCAGGACCGTCGTTCCTCGGGCCTCAACGACGCGATCGGCGGTGCCGATCATTGGCCTACGATAGATTTGGCCTATCGCTTCCCAGATACCGCTGGCGAGCATTCTCCAACAGGTTTTGATGTTTTTTTGTTACCCGCTTCTCCCCCGAGTTCTGCGCGCTCATCCTCAGATAAAGGTGTCGGCTGCCTTCCCTGTGCTGGTCGATGCTCCTCTAGAGGGGAGCAGCTTTCCCTCTCAGCTTGAAACGTCTGTCGGATATCCGGGAGCAGCGCGGAGCTCCGACCCCGCTCTACGCTGACATTGGAGCCGACTGACTCCATTCATGGCAAGAGAGAACCTAGATGTCCCAGGGCTCTCACCATTTTATAGTCGAATTGTAGAGCCATTGCGACGCATGTGATGCAGAAAGCCAGGAAACTGAGCAGATTTTCGACGCTTAAAGCGAAACAGGCTACTTGCAAAACATCCCATTCGTCCCTGAATGCGATCACTTTGAGAAGATTCACGTAATCCATGTGATTTCCGCCAGAGATCCGTCTGACGACCAGGTATTCGAGCTCGACGCTGAGCGCGGCGACGGCAGAACTTTTCTTGGTTATGTGGAAAATCACGACAATCAGACACAATCGTAGGGCGCTGAAGATCGACGTGTCCCGGATTGTGTTCTTTTCCTCTAACATCCGAGAAAACGTGAAGATAACGATCATTACTATCTGGCAATAATACACCGCGAGAGGCAAGGCGAAGAGCTCGTTGACTTTCCCGATCAGTTTCCGAACTCTGCATTTCCGAGAGATGATGCGCATCGGATTCAACGGTGAGAACGTTTCCCCCACGAAGGCCGAGACAGCGTTGACTCTCAGAATGTTGTTGATAGCATCCTCGTACAGGACGAAAAATGTCATAGCATTGAAATCGAAGTACAGAAAGCACAATTCGATGAAACGTGCCGTACCGTTCCTCGCCGCGAAGCATCGCTCTACGTGTAACACCTGAATCGACGTTACGCAGAAGAGAGTGAGAGCCATGTCACGGGAACACCTCGTGCGGCGCTTCTGAAGGACGCGGTGATAATCGTCGTTTCTGAGGATGAAGAGCAGCCTCCAATACATGCGGGCTAAGGAGAAAAAGACCACGTTGACCACGGTGATCAACTTAGCGAGGTTGAGCGGCTCCTCTCTGAAAAAGATGTCTCGTTTCAGGAACTCGAAGAGATAGAAGCACCAAAGGACGACGTTCGCGAAGAGCGTCGCCGACGATACGAGCTTGAGCCATGGATTCTTCGAAAGCCCCAAAAACTGTCCATTGATCGCGCACACGATCCAGAACACGCAGTCGGGAATTGGGGAACCTTCCACGCCTTCAACTCCGGACGTCGAGCGTTTCCCGAGTATGCGATCGGGTCCGTACCAGCGCTGGCCGTTCACTTTTCGTAGATTCCATTGATCCGACCAGTCATCGAAATTTCCTCTAACGGACATCGGGGAAAATTCCTCGTCCTTCGCCTCGCAGCGGTTGAGATCGGTTCTCCGAGTGAGCATCGTGAGCCGTGAGAATACCGGCATCCAATGAAAGCCAACGAGCGCTGGATTTCAGCGCCGAATCGTCCGAGGGTAAGTCCAAAAGCCACGCTCGAGGGTAGGGGGGATCGAATCTCGAACCCATCCAGATCGGAGTGATGGACGACGACTCTATCGGGGGAATTCACAAAAGTTTCTCGAGACTAATAGCGATTGAGTGCTCTTAGCTCGGGAGTGCGCGGGCTTCGGATATCGGAGTGATGCTGATTGACCACACGAACGACTCGTCATATGATTGGACGAGATCATACGCCTCGACCTTCAGACTGCTGGTTTCAGTCATTTTCGAAGACGGGGAAAGTACTCACTGTGGATGGTTCGGCAATTTTTAGGAGCAAGTCGTTCTCGGACTAGTTCTTTGTTCTCGGAATCCTCTTGGGCTAGACCTGGATGGACGTCCCCGACCTCCTTGTTGATAGTCATGCTGCAACGCGGAGAGACGCCCGATCCGGAAAAAGCCACCAGCATTCGAATGTTCCTGAGTTGAATGAGCTCCTATGCCCCGGGATGTTTACTGAGATATCGCTCGTGAGGAGGCATGGGGCTACTTGGTCTCAAATTTGCATGAGCAGAGAACAATCTCACAACTCCGTTTGGTCGAGCGATTGCTAGGAGCTAAAGCCTATTTCCGATCAGATAATGCTATCATCAGTGCCGCGATCTCGGGCAGAGGACTCCGAAAGTTCAGGGAGAGCAACTGCTCATCCAGTCTCTACATAGATTATTCTGTCCTCTGAACGGACGCTAGGAGCACGCCCCTCCCCCTAATATAGGTTTCCGCCCCTGCTTGATATCAAATCAGAGTATTCTGTATTTACGTCGAGAACGTTGGCTCTCAGCGGGGCTAGATACTGCTATGTGCCCTGCTAGAAAGCTTTATCGGGTCGGATCGTCGATCAGTTTGACCCGCGGCAGAGCATCGAAGCCTGGCCTTCAAATTATTCTCTCTGCCTGGGCTCACCATATCCGATCCCTATTGATTCAATTCATAAGAAACAGAACAAGCCGGAGGTAAGCGTCGCGAATACAGGCGCGAAATTTTATTCATTTCAGGGGACTCCATGCACTCCCCGCAGTCGCCCGACCCGTCGCCGTCGCAGGGCGAGCTTTTCACCGCCATTGAACATCGAGCTCAGCAGAGGACTAGACATAGCGCTTCCCTACGAATTGCCGCTCCAGCAAGAGGTTTGTTTCTGCTGTATGCTGCAATCATGAGGGACTCGGAGGTAGCGAGCTCAGGCGAGATAGAGCCCGCAACACCTTGTAGTCGAACTGAAGAATCACGGCCGTGCATGTGATGCAGAAAGCTAGAAATCGCAGGAAATTCGCAGTGCTCAGATTGAAACACGCTGCTCGTAGAACATCCCATTCCTCTCTGAAGTTCAGCGCGTCCTGAAGATTCGTGCACTCTGGGTGATAGGCTGCCGCAGTTCGCCTCATAACAAGTGACTCGAGCTTGACACAGAGCGCGATGACGTTCGAGGCCTTTTTCGCCAAGAGGAGGTGGGTGACAATGAGGAAGAATTGTAACGACATGAAATTCGCCGTCTCACGGATGGTCGAGCGTTTTTCCACTACCCTGGAAAACGTGAATAGAACTGCCATGACCACTCGACTGTAGAAGACGGCGAGTGGCACCGCGAAAATCGAGTTCACCCTCTGGATCGTTTTCCGGATCATACATTTCTGGGAAACGATGTCAGCTGCGCAGAAATGTTTCATTGTTTTTATCGAGGTCTTCAATCGTGTCTGTAGTTTGAGTATATGATTCATCGCGTCGTCGAAGAGCACGAAAAATGTCATTGCGTGGAGATCGAAGTACAGAAAGCACACTCCCGTGAAGAATGAGACCGAGTCGTAGCTCCCGGAAAGTCGATCGATTCGCAATCCTTGTATGAAAACGTGGCATACTAGAATAGCGGCCATATCGCGGAAACGTCTGCCGCTTTTCTGGAGCAGATTTTCGAAATCATCGTTTTTCAAAATGAAGAGCAGCCTCCAATATAAACACATGATGGTGTACACTATCAATTCTGGCAGCATGATCAAGCCGGCAAGATTGAGCGGCTCCGCCGTCGAGAAATTTTCCATTCGCGCGAATTCAAGAAGCCAGAAGCACCACATGACGAAGGTCGCGCACCATATGAGGACGGCCAGAACCCTCAGCCAGGGGTTTCTTGATAGATTGAAAAACATCCCAGCCGAGGCACACAGGAGCCGAATTGTTTTATCGGGAAGTCCGTCACCGTCTTTCCGATCCATTTTGTAGCTCGAGTTCCCCATTTCGTTGAGTTTCGGAACCGCGTCGTTGGGAAACCCCGAAGATCGACCGAATTTCATCGATAGCGAACCTTTGGACCAAAGTGTGTTTCACAGATGCCAAGTAGGATTACCTCGACTTATGAAACGGGACATTCCTCTCACCAAGCGTGAGCGTCATGCGCGACTTCTATCGCGAGGTCAGCGACAGCAGAATGTTGAGCGAGTGAGGATCGGCCGCGGTGAAAACTGCAGCCGTATCTAGTAACATGAACAGCATCCCGTATAATCAGCAGTGAGCGACCTGCACAACCATTCTCAGGCATTGATTTTCATCTCGTGACTCCAATCTCGAAGCGGTCGAAGGAGGGGGGAGTATTCCGAAATCGGCGTCGAAGTACAGAGTACCGGTGTCGGAACCGATGGATACTTTGCAAGGCGAAGATTGAATCGAATCGATACTTTCTGCACGGAATTATACGACACAGCGACGTGATCGTCGTTCGGTGCCTGCTGACTTCGACCGTGTGTCAAAGCAGGGGGACGGCAAGCGATCTATTGTGTGATCCATAATGACTTTCTCAGAAGATTTCGGCTCGGCTAGAGTTACCCTTCGGTTGCATATCCCAACTGGGAGATTTTCCGAGAGCCCGAAAGCATTCAAACTGCCCAAAAATTTAGATTCAATTGGTAATTGAGCTCAATAGACTCAATGATCTTACAACTTTGTAGTCGAATT